CCCCCCCCCAACCCCGTCCCAAGCTCCCCCGGTTTTCACGCAGGAGCCCAGTGATGAATCAGCAGATATTGGCTCAAACATCACACTGCCGTGCTATGTTCAGGGTTACCCAGAACCAAAGGTTAAATGGAGACGGCTAAATGGTGCTTCCCTTTTCTCAAGACCATTCGCAGTTAGTTCCATCAGTCAACTCAAAACAGGAGCTCTATCTATTAACAGTAGGTAGACTGAACTTTTTAAAATAAAGATTTCAGAAGGAAATATGACATACGCAATGAATTTAAGCTACTATACTACTTTGTAGAATTGTTAACTTAGATAAAAATCCAGTCTTTTTACAGAGATTGTGTTTCTGATACTGACTTCATTGCTTTTGACATGCAGTTCATTTTCCCATGAGTTTGTGAATTCAGTTGTTTGGTCATTGGCTTCACTCTTCTTCATAGAAATTACTACAACTTTGTTTAAATAAATATGGGTTATATTCTCTGTTGATACTGAGGAGCTACGGATTTTCATTTTTTGGGTTTTTTGAGAGAAGTGTTTCTAAACTCATTGTTTTAGGCAAGTCATAACTTTGGCAATAACTAGAAATTCTGCAAGTGGCTCTGCGATTTCAGTTACTTGGAGCATTTCAGTCACCCATACACTAAGTGATGTTATTCTGTTTTCTTAATTAGCTCTTTTATTCCTTTCTAGACATAATCAGGTTGGGTGAAGTAATTCTACTGTACGTACAGTGCAGTAACTCTTGTCTTATATACTACTGTGTGGGTGTCTGTTCACATACAGACACACAATCCTGTATGTAGTAAGCAGTATTCCACAGTAAACGCACTACATGCTAGTATATGTATGTGTGGATATATAGTGTACTGCCATATATTATTTATGCACATTAGGGTATACTGTATTAAAGTATATGCAATATATCATAGAATCGTTTAGGCTGGAAAAGACCTTTATGGTCATCAAGTCCATCTGTTAACCTAGCACTGCCAAGTCCACCACAAAACCATGTCCCTAAGCACCACATCTACATGTCTTTTAAATACCTCCATGGATGGGGACTCAACCACTTCCCTGGGCAGCCTGTTCCAATGCTTGACAACCCTTTTGGTGAAGAAATTTTTCATAATATCTAATCTAAACCTCCCCTGGCACAACTTGAGGCTGTTTCATCTCATCTTATCACTTGTTACTTGGGAGAAGAGACTGACAGCCACCTCACTACAACCTCCTTTCGGGTAGTTGTGGAGAGCGATAAAGTGATGAAAAGTATCATGTATGTATATAATGCTTTTTTTATTCAAGTGTACATATAGTCATTGCTTCTGTACTTGGCGACAGATGGAAAGGAATGATGTGGTCAAAAATGAATATTTAAAACTGAAAGATAAAAGGATAGGGTATCCATGTATTGCAAACTTTCCAGTATCACTTCAGATGCTGCAATCTGATCTATTCCCCCACCTTCCTGCCCTGCCTCTAGGTTTGTGGGTCAGTGATGAAGGAACTTATATCTGTGAAGCTGAGAACCAGTTTGGAAGGATTCAGTCACGCCCAGCCATGATCACAGTAACTGGACTGGGTAAGACTGGTTAATGTCAGTGATGACAGTAAAAGGAAGGACTGGCAACATTTCAGTACCTGGAATATACTGAGGAGGCAATAGTTGGTGGTGTTTGTACAACAAATAGAATGTCTGCAGGTTATGTACATACATGGTGACATATCTATATGCTTTTATCTATAGCTATATTTACACATATAGAATCATAGAATGCTTTGGGTTGGAAGGGACCTTGAGAGATCATCGAGCCCAACCCCCCTGCAGTGAGCAGGGATTGAACCTGTGAACTTGGCGTTATTAGCACCATGCTCTAACCAACTGAGCTAACCCCGCTGGTCATCCACACAAACTGAATCAGAAGACATTTGCATGGAATATTGTCATTTATTTCAGTGAATTTAGCACGTTAGAACATTGTCTTTTCACTGGCTACATTAATTTGAACTAGTTCCATCTACACTTTGTAACATGGACCTTAAATGTGATTTATCTTGTCTTCTGTTTCTTATTCCTAAGTAAGTTTACTAAGGAATGAAAAATCACCATAATGATGAATGCTAATGATGGGGTTTCTGCCATTTAATTAATCTTAAAAAAAAAAAAAAAAAAAAGCAGCAATGAACTTGTTTAGGTCAGTGTGTTGATATAACTGGAAAGGAATCTTGGTGATCCACAAAGCCAGTAAGTGTCTAGCTTTGACAGTAGCTGTGCTATTAAGGAGTTGTTTATTATCTCAGTTGGACAATTGGCAATAAAAGGAAAAATAATGGAATGTGTACATTTGCGGGAGGATAAGAATGGAGTCCATCTGCCATCAAAGAAACCATTTGTTAACTTAATACATGTGGTGGAAATGCTAGTAGTGTTTGATAGACAACATGTTTTTACCTGTTTAAAAGCATTATTTAATCCCCATTATTTAAAATTAATTTATAAAGCATGTGCACAGGAGTGCTTTCTGTTGGCTCTTTACAGAGTGTGCAGAATTTTCTGCCAGGCTGTTGACCTCTATTCTAATCCCTTACAATTTTATGCCCAAAGGAAATTACCACTTATTTTTTGTCCTTGCCAAACCTGCTACTTTTGTTCTTCGGTATTTTGCCCAAGTAAGGAAAAATGATATATCAACTTGGTATCCAGGGTAACCTGAGTTTTCAAGGAAATGCTGGATTGGATCCAATTTCAGCTGGACAACATCTTCCATTTGCTGGTATTCCTTAGTCTTAGGATCGTTGTACATGTATTTTTTTCTGCCTGTATCGTTGATATTTCTGATACCAGAACCCCATCTGGTATTTTTTGTTGTAAAATTAAGTATGTTGGAACTTTCATGCTTTTTGTTGAAAGCTACATTTTTTTTTTTTACCCCTTTTTTTCCCCTTTCTGTTTAAATCATATAGTTTTCATTGTAGGAAATGTTTCTTACTCTATATTTATATAGTACCTTGCACAAGGAGACCTTTGTGTGAAGCTGCTGCAAGTAGCATCAGTGACAGGACTAATAATAAAAATTCAAATGTAATACGTTACACGAATATATTAAAGATTCCTAATAATTTATTTTCTTTTGTTCAAGTTACACCTCTGATTGGAGTAAGTCCTGCCACAGCCAATGTAATTGAGGGGCAGCAGCTCACTTTGCCATGTGTACTGCTTGCTGGAAACCCTATTCCAGACCGGAGGTGGATTAAAAACAGTATGGTGGTAAGACTGTTTTGTTTCCTGTAAGACATATTGGCAGAGAAAATCTACAACTGACATTTCAAGCCATGATAACAACTTGGTTTAATTTACAAAAGTTGATGTACAAATATACTGATAGATTTTATGCTTGCAAATAAAGATGCTTCATGTGATTGGACTGACTCACTGGAAACGAGGATCCAGTGTCATTGAGGTGAATTACAGCAGACAGTCACCACTCAGCAGGAGCTGCTGCCTCCTTAGGAGAAGCCAGTTGGCTGTATTTGTATGGCATAGATGCTTCTGAGTTTCTACAGGCGCTGTCTTTTGGAGTACAGCCATTCCCCCAAGAAATGGTAGTTTATTACTGTTCAAAATACAGAAGTGGAAGTGTGGCATTCTGATATTATGCCTCACTCTGATCACTGTCCACGCTAGGAAATTTCTAACTCTGAAGGGAGATCAGGGAATAGGAGATGGTAGTGGAGGATGCAAAGGTCTAGAAAAGAACTTGCAACCAAAGTATTTGTGAATTGTCCTTTTATCTTCTACTTTTATCTTCTACTTTACTTACTTGCAAAGCAGTTTTATGTATTCTCTTTAGCTCCTGAATTTCAGCCTTAGGCTCTGAATATAGGAATGCTAGTGGAATACCCCACCAGAATGACAAAAGTGCTGGAATTTAAACCCTGGTAACTGAAAATCATTTTTTTCCCTATTTTTTTAAATCTAAAGATACAAGAAATTTTCTCTAGATTTAGGGGTTTTTAGCTTCATGACTTTTAATGTTGCTGATGGGATAAGATAAATGTCAGCATCCCTGCACATTTCATAGTGGTGCACTTCTCAGAGCAGGAAACCATGTATGTTTTTTTCCCCCTTGAGAGCATACCATTGCCAAGTTATAACTCCTGCAGACAGAAAGGTGGTGTAGACACTGCACCTAGGTTAATTGTCTGGGTGATGTTTCATTTCTTTTAGTAGTAGCCAAATTACTGTCTTCAGCTTCCCTTTGAAGCCCTGCTTTTTATCTTGTTTGCTAATTTCTCCCTAAAGCCCTTTCTCCACAGCTGTAATTAAAAAAAATGATAGCAATATTTTTTTTATTTATTGTCACCAAGCAGAACCCTGGCACTACTTGACCATTTGCTTGCTAGAATTTTCTGCTCAATTTTTGAATCACTGGGAATCATTGGACTTCTCTTTAGACTGTGTAAGTGCAAGTAGCACAGGCTGCAACTTCTGTGAGAAATACTGGCAGAATCCTCCTTGTTGAGTTGCTAATTAGTCTGTGTAGTAGTGCTAGTTTCCTGTAATTGTAAACTCACAGCAAAAGCTACACTCCAAGGAAAGTGTTAGAGTAAGTTATATTTAGAGAAGAATGCAGCTTTTTATGAGCACGGCATGACTGGAACAATTTTGCATTCTAACAGCATTTCTGTAAGGCAAGTCTATGTTGCTGAGCTCATGGAATTTTTTTTGTTGTTGTTGTTGCTATAGGATATATACCTTTTAAAAAATTTCTTTTGTGAAAGCTGTAACTTTTCTTATCTTTCACAATTATGTACTTCAGAGCTGGTTTCTACTTGAGGGATATATCAAGTTAGAAGGTTTTGACAACCAGAAAAGAAAAAGGATCTGTTTGTGGAAGAACAAGTCATTGCACTCGTCAAGAGCTGATCTGTGATCAAATTGGGTTACTGGAATAACCAATAAAAAATAGAGTAAAATAATTCAGCTAAGTTCGTTTTCACTTCAGTGCACAATTATAAGCATGAGTGGTAGTGCAGCAGAGCAGAGTTGCTGTTGCAGACCTTAATCTCACTCCAGCAGTAAATATGAGGTGCTACCAAAATTCTTATTTAAAATTAGCTTTTTATGAAACATGGAAGGTAGGAAAAGATCTAGTAAAATTCTCCATGAACATATAGTTTTTAAGAATGTGAAATAGTTGAGTAAAGCCATGCTGCATGCCAAAGTAAATATTATCAAGTATCTTCTTCAGTAAAACATTACATCACTCTTTTGGCAGCTGGTTCCCAATCCCTACATTAATGTTCGCAGTGATGGAAGCCTGCACCTTGAAAGAGTTCGGCTGCAGGATGGCGGTGATTATACCTGCATGGCAAGTAATGTTGCTGGGACAAGCAACAAAACTACTACTGTTAATGTGTATGGTAAGGAACACTGTCTTATTGCTTTTGTGCTGTATGCAAGATGAGAGTGCATTGCTTACTAACAGGAGCTCTCACTAGAGCTTTTTTGTTACAATTATACTAATTTCTCCAATTTCCTCATTTGTAATGATGTTACTTTGTAAAGTAACATGGTGGGAAATTGGATCCACTGCCCAGGAAAGAAGGATCGAGACTGCTTTTAAAAGAAAATAAAAATAACACCATTTTGTGATCGTAAGAGATCCTCACTTTTAAAGATCCACAAAGGTTGGGCTGTGCAGTCTTCATCTCCAGCTTTATTAACAAAACAGATGCAAGTGGAAGTTTACTGGAAAACCATGAAAAGCGCTGTCTGGGGTTTCATTACTGATGTGAGGAAGCACAGCTCATGGGAGAATTAATATTAAAATGAATTATGAGTTTGGCAAAATGTGTTTGTTTTTTGGGGGGTGTCCCCCTGCCCTTTTTTTTCTTTAATTAAAACATACCAAAAATTACACTGACAGCAAGACAAAGTGTTAGCATTGTGGTAACCCATCTGTATTTCAGCTGAGGATACTTGTAATAACTCTGTGTGGGGTCACAACCACTTCATGGTTTACAGCCTGAAATTCTCTCATGTGTTAAATTAATCTATTTTAAGCTTCACTGAAGGTGCTGGAACATCCTTTTATCTTAAGAATAGCTATTATTTTTTAATACAGGCAAGTACTCAGTGTCTGATAAGGTCTTCCATGTCAACGCTAGCTTTTTTTTAATATTTCAGAACTTGAGAACAGAAAGTAATATATTTGTATGGCTTTAGAATGATCAAGTTTTTGGTATTATAGCCTTAAATCTGATCTTTTTTTCTGTGGGTAATTCAAAACCAGCTCACTTAAGTAGGGGAACTGGGGTTCTTGTTATCTCTTATTACTGATTTTGTGAAGTGATCTGGTATTTTTATTCAAGTTCTGTCAGTCAGTCAGTCCCTGCAGAAACCATTACTGCAGTTAGCACAGCTTTGTAGCATTTATAACAAATATTAAATAAGCTTGGAGTGTGATCAGTTCTTCACTCTTATATCTGTTCTGTTCAAAATGTTGTCTGTTGATGGAAATTGATTCAGCACCAAAAATATTGAACCCATTCTCATGAAAGGTGCTGTATAAGTTGAATCATGTACAGTATCATTTCGGGAAACTAGGCCTAAAATGTTGTCAGAGGATATTGTGACAAAGATTTTCTGAAATGATTGCAATCAACTATGTGAAATATCTACAGTTAGTTTAAAACTCCAGGTACCTAATGCAATGATCAACCTATGGCTGACGTGCTTTTTTATGAACAAGTATTTATTCTGTCATGAAAGACTGGACAGTGGAGGAGAAAGTGTCATTGTCAATGTTAGGGTTCAGAGAAGAGGCCGAAAATTTCCAAACCCTGCTGTCTGTATGAAGTAGTAATTGAATATAGGGATTTTATTGTAAGAGTTGTGCCATGGTTTGAAATCTGTCTTCTGCATGTGTTTAGTGTTTGCATTTATTTTTAGTTCTGCCTGTTATTCAACATGGACAGCAGATATTTAGTACCATTGAAGGAATCCCAGTAACGTTACCGTGCAAAGCAAGTGGAGTTCCTAAGCCATCTATTGTCTGGTCCAAGGTAATTTCTCATCTTTGAGCTGTTCATGGTGAAAGATGGATTGAACGCATCATTTAGTTGTCATAAAAAGTACATGCAAGAAACGCGGCCAAAAGCCTCAGTTGTGAGGGACCTGGAAATCTCTATCTGTTCGTATCTGCTTTTGTTTCTTAGAGCAGTTCTTTCTGGCCATGGTCCAGCCATAGATCAATGTTCTGTTCTTCGGAAGGGCTTTGGTTATTGCTGTATCTTTGTTTTGAACACTTTAGAAATTGTTCATATTCCTGTTACGAGTTGATAATTTGAGATTAGGCAACCTGCCAGGCTGAAAGTTCATTTTTGTTTTGGAGCCTTACTTTTAAGATTAAATTTTCCTCTAGGTAAAGTGTGTCTAATAATGGCATTCTGGGGTTAACCATCTATGACTTTTCAATCATGTCCTTGACAAGATGTTTTGACATCAGAAATCAATGTCAAAATTAACCAGTTGAAAACTTGAATTTTTTAAAAAAAATTGGGGTCTGTAAAAAGTATCAAGTATTCTGCATAAGAATCCCTGTACTTCTGCTGTTGTTACTGCTTAGACAGTGCCACTCAAGGAGTGTGAAAAGTTAGTTGAAGTTAGTTAATTTGTATGGATGGAATTTTGGGGCCAGGCTTCTTAGTTAATTGAATATATTTTGTCCATCTCAGCCATAAACAATAAAAGCAGTACTGAAATGTAAATTCAAATATTGCTCCGTTTAGTCAGACTGCCTGCAAATTGTTTGGTCTACAGAACTGCATTAAAGAGCATGAAACATATTTCACAGTGAAAAATCTGACCCAGTGTTATATTAAAAATATAGCAGTTTTCATATGAACGGATCACAGGAATGGGGTAAGCTAAGGGAGATGCTACAGGAACTAACATAGAACACAGAATCGTTTAGGTTGGAAAAGACCTTTAAGATCATCCACTCCAACCATTAACCTAATGCTACCAAGTCCACCACTAAACCGATTAAGGCTAGAGTAGTAATTTCATGTTTCCTGGCTTGGTGGCTGGATTATTTTTTAATGAAAGTGAAAACTAGGAGTCATTAAGGTTGGAAAGGATCTCCAAGATCATCAATCCAACCATCAACCCAACACCACCATGCCCACTAAACCATGTCCCAAAGTGCCACGTCTACCCGTTTTTTGAACACTTGGCCTTGTTGAACCTCATACAGTTGGCCTCAGCCCAGTGATCCAGCCTGTCCAGATCACTCTGCAGGGCCATCCTACCCTCCAGCAGATCAACACTCCCACCCAACTTGGTGTCATCTGCAAACTTACTGAGGGTGCACTCAATCCCCTCATCCAGATCGTTGATAAAGATATTAAACAGAACTGGCCCCAAAACAGAGTCCTGGGGAACACTGCTTGTGACCAGTCGCCAACTGGATTCAACTCCATTCACTACAACTCTCTGGGCTCAGCCATCCAGACAGTTAATTCACCCAGCGAAGAGTACACCTGCCTAGGCCATGAGCTGCCAGCTTCCCAAGGAGAATGCTGTGGGAGACAGTGTCAAAGGCTTTACTAAAGTCCAGGTAGATGACATCCACAGCCTTTCCTTCATCCGCTAGGTGGGTCACCAGGTCACAGAAGGAGATCAGGTTGGTCAGGCAGGATCTGCCTTTCATGAATCCATGCTGGCTGGGCCTAATCCCCTGGTTGACCTGCACATGCCTGTTGAGCGTACTCAAGATGAACTGCTCCATAATCTTTGCTGGTACTGAGGTCAGGCTGACAGACCTGTAGTTTCCTGGCTCCTCCTTCTGGCCCTTCTTGTATAGATGGGTGTCACATTGGCAAGCCTCCAGTCATCAGGGACCTCCCCTGTTAACCAGGACTGCTGATAGATGATGGAAAGTGGCATTTTTATATTCCTTTAATTGTTTTTATGTTTTCATTAGATTTTATTCTATCTCTGTAAGCTTCAGCTTTTATTGAATTAAATGATTGTAATTTTTTTTTATTTTAGAACATCCAGGTGCTGTGGACTATTTTTTTTTCCCCTTCTTTCCACAGAAAGGAGAAGTAATTCTTTCCAGCAATGTGAAATTTTCTGCAGGGTCTGATGGAAGTCTGTATGTAGTTTCACCAGGGGGTGAAGAGACGGGGGAATATTTGTGCACTGCAACCAATGCTGCTGGTTATGCTACACGGAAAGTCCAGCTGACTGTCTATGGTATGTATGAGCTAAAATCAAATATAGTGTCACTGTCTTTCTCCCCCCATTGCATTCTACTTTAGACGGTAAAACCCACTCAGTGGATTGTGAACTAGTATATCCACAGTGCAAATGGGATTTAAGCTAATCTCTAATTAGTGCTTTTGACTTTGTCATAGATCACTGGATCCTATAATAGCCAATTTTAGAAATTCGTGATACTGAAAGGCCTATATCCTTTAGCTGTTAAAATTGTCTTAAAACCTCCTGATACCTGTTACCTTGAGCTTGTGGACTAGGATCTTGGTCTGATCATTTAATCTTTTATGGAAGTGAATAGGAGTACCTGTATAGGAATACAGGAAGTACCTGTATAGGAATAGAAGTCCCTGCTGATAGAAGAATGAAGATCCATTAATCCCATTGGTCCCAAAGCTTCACACCATCTCCCAATATTATCAAAACTTTAATCTAGATGCAGGCTTGCTTTGCAAGGCTTTTATGGCTTGTAGCTGTTGGTGATGTAATGTAACATAGTTCAGGTATTGGTTGCAAACTACCTATGCAATAGAGAGCTCAGCATATGCATGAACTACATATATATGTTGCTGTCCAGCTTTTTGGGTAGATAGCGCAGTCTTGATGGTATTTGTGGTATTGCATGTAGGCATCAGGCAGAATCTGAGGTACAGGCACTGTACGTCAGTATTATAGTGATTTATGTCTATTGCAGACATGCATTAAAAATAGAATTGTAATGTTATATACCTCATAAAAACCAGATATTTAACCTGAAGTAAAATTGGTGTCACATTTCTACAAATACGTATATTCATTGCAGCTTCTTAATATGTTCCACGTTATAGTGAAACCTAGAGTATCAAGGCCTGGAGACCAGCAAGGAAATGCATATGATAAACCCATAGAGATCTCGGTAATTGCAGGGGAAGATGTCACACTCCCATGTGAAGTAAAGAGCTTGCCACCCCCCATAATTACATGGGCCAAGGAAATGCAGCTCATATCTCCATTCTCTCCAAGGTAACAATGTTTGATGAAAACAAATGAAAAGTGAAATTGCATCTAAGCTTTCAAGATTTTGGAAGGGGATATAATTTCTAATTGCCACAGGATCAATCAGAAGGTATTAAGTTGTCCTGCATGAGGACCCTGTTTTACTATGTCTTGAAACTCTCTTTCCCCAAACACGTGTATGTCTCTTTCTGGATACTAAGACCATGCATCATTGTACAGCTTCCATTCCAGTGCGTGTTTATATGCAATCTCAGGAGGCCAAGATGAAAGAGACCCTGTTATATTTGTACTGCGGTGGTGCCCAGAGACACATAATCTGTGCCTGATTATAAATGTTTAGAAACTGTTTTTCTTTTCTTAAGCACTTCATATTTATGCTCAGGGGAGCAGTGTCTGTTATTCATATGAAGTCTGGGCTGCCAGTAGAATACAGATGATGATAAATGTTTGGGAGTGCTTATAAAGGCTCATTACTTGCTGTGTTTTGGATCCAAAAACTCTCCAGATATTCTTGAACATGTGAAAACATAGCTAAATAATCATAAAAATATTGGGTTGACAGCCTTAGAGAATGAAGAGTTGGGGACTGTCTTGTATGCAGCATGGGCCACAATGTTGGAGTTATTCCTTATTATTTTAGTATGGTACAAAATAGGAGAGGAAATGTGTAGGTGATTATTTTTCTGTATGTTCCAGTTGAAGTGCCAGGTACTGTCACGGGGCATGCTTGTGCTTTCTAGTCTTCAAGATACCTCAGAAGGGGTAAAGGCTACAGCTGTATTCATAAACCAGGAAATGGTAATGCTGCCCAAATGCACATTGTAGCGATGGCTGTGCCTGTTGTCTAGTGTCTCTAACTGATCCAAGTGGAAGGAATCAGCCAGTGTCTGAACTGAATTAAGGAATCATACAGACCTGAAGGCGAGCTTCTTTCCCTTGTGGCCAAATCTGCACCTCAGAGACACCCATTCCAGTGAGTCTGCAACAGCCTCAGCAACTAATAGCTGCTGGGCCAGCATATTTGGTGAAGGAGGCTTGTGCACAGAGACTTGATTTGTTGTTAGTAATCTGTGTGGAATTTTCCGCTGTCTTGTGAGCACGTGGTATGCACTAACAAATCCTCATTCTTGATCCCTTACTTGTCCTCATTTTACTTCAGGAGACATTGATAAATTAGGCTACTTGCTCATGGCTGTTGTGGAGAGATCTAAGTTGTCCAGAGTAGCAAAAGTCCAGCTCAGTCCATTCCATAAAATTGTTTACAGATGTCAGCAAAAGTTAAAGAGTTAGTCCAAACAAAATTGTTTGAGACCACCCAAAGATGATGTTAGAAATCTGACCAGTAAACAAGAGAAGAGTGAAATCAGAAATGAAGAAACTTTTGTCAGAAAGCAAATGTAGTTAGCGGACAAAGTAGTGGAAGATAAGTTGCCCTAGCAATCTGTCTTTTGGGGGTTATTTTTAAAAAAAAAAAAAAAGTTAGGAAAGATATGGGCAACAGAGGAGGAATCATAATACCAGACAGATTTGGGTGGCCTGGAGGAAGTGCACTTCACTTTCTTTCTGTTCATCTCTCCGGAACATTGCAATCCCAAAATTCACCATTTATGCCCATATTTGTCCTAAATTATGCCCACATTGTCCTAATTAGACAGTGCCAGAGAAAGGAAGACAGATGATACCACCAATTCCCACCAACTTTGCCTAAATTCCGTATATAACCTTGAGTGCTAGAGTTGAATTTCTTCTTGTCAATTCTTAGCTGTCATTTTTTCTTTCCTCCTCATTTATTTTCCCTATCTCTATTACTTTTGACTTCTACATAAGAAGATTTTGGCTTAGCTGCCCAATGTATCTTGTAATGTTACAGGCCTGTGACCAGAACTGTGGTAAAATTTAATGCTGTGTAGTTAACTATTTACTGATGAATAATGACAATTTCTATAAACACCAGAACTGGCAGTTTTGAAACAGGAATACTCTTCAGAATCCCCTCTTCAATCTTGAATCAATGTAACATCTTTTTTTGCCAGGATGAAGTAGCATAAGAAGTTGTTTAGCTTTCTGACTCCGCTCACCTGGGCTGAGCAAAAATTTTTGACAGGAGATTGAAGAGCTCCATTTCTCTACCTGTTGGTTTATGTTGTGGGTTGGGTTTTTTGTTGTTGTTGTTTGTTTTTTGTTTGGTTGTTTTTTTTCATTTCTAGAAACAAGACAGATTTTAATGTGTCCTGTAAGTTGCTAGAACCAAATTTTGTAATTTGGATCTTATATTTTAGATATTTGCTGTGTATTCTGAAGGTAGTGACTCAGTACTAAGAGTTAGAAAAAACGAGAAAATTTAAGTCGTAGTTTAGTAATATGGCACAGCTCAGTGTGCCCTGTAGAATGGTGTTATTTTAGCTTGTAGCAATCATTACCAATGTCTAAGTAGAGGTCATTCACCTTTCAATACATGTTTATACAGTGTATGTGCTTCTTATTTTTCCAGACACACTTTCCTACCCTCAGGGTCAATGAAGATCAGTGAGACACAAGTTTCAGACAGTGGAATGTATATCTGTGTAGCCACAAATATTGCTGGGAATGTGACTCAGTCAGTGAAGCTAAGCGTACATGGTAAGTTTTAACTTAAAGGATAATCATCTGCAAGTTTCTGCATGGAATTCATCATCAAGCAGACCTTTTCAAACATTTTTTCTTATGTGCATTAAATACTATTGACCTTTCAGGTCATATTATCTTCATATGCAAGTTGTTATTGATTTTGTGGAGAGGAAATATTGTATACAAACACACATATATACATACATGCATACACACGCACACCCCTCCCCTTCCTTTAATGTTCCTTAGACTCATGGAAGAATGATAGCACAGTATGACATTTGACTCTTAAGCCAGCCAGAGTTTCAAGAACTGAAAACTTGTTCTAATGCACTTGGATCTTCTCTGTGCAAGAGGTTTCTCAGCAGTAAGTTTGCAAACAGTGGCTGAGAATAGCAAAACGCAGGTGTCAAGTTCCCACCAACTTGATGGGAATTACATATCCAAGCTCTTTTGGTAGTGAATGTCAAAGTTTGCTTGTATACCTGCTCAGGTGGTAGCGGAACCAGTGTGCAACTGTGCCACCTGTGGATAGGCAGCTGCTTCTGTCTTGGTGCACAGCTATATGCATATATATTCTGCTGTACCCACCTTCGCAAACTAATACCTTAACCCATCTTACTGTACTTTCTCTGTTCAAACCAGCACCTCAGCTTGTATGCACCTTCCTCCCCCTCTGTGAAGGTGTCTAGTTGCTCTTGCTGAAGCTAGGACCCATGTCCCCTTCCGTCTCCTTACCATAGATCATCACATTCACACTCCCTTGTTTCTCTCCTACTCTCCCCTTACTGGGGCCCCAGCCACATCTCTTAACCACTTGCACAAGGTCATGTGTTGTTAGCTCCGTGCTCTCTTGTTTATTCCTCCTTACCTGTGTCAGAAACGCAGGCTGTGGCACATGTACCTCCTGCCAGTGCTAAAGCACATAGGAGAGTGGGTGCAGCAGCCATGGCCTGGCACAGCCCAGACGAGGCTGACCAGTAGTAGTTGAGGGTGTATAGATGGCTCATGCAGAGTTTGGAAGTGTTGCTGCCAATGCCCATTGCCAGCACATGTCTTTGAAGTGGACCACATACCACGAATGTACCAGATTGGAACTCCTGCCCCCAGCAGCTCTGAAACCTTCAGACTACACTAATTCAATTACAATGGCTATAACAGACTACTGTCTGGTTCTGTGTGTAGAGAAGTCTGATATCAGTGCACATCTTTGATTATCTGTAATTGTACATTAACAGAGAGCCTGGAAAAAAGGCACTTGTTATTGTTTCAGATATTCTTTATAGGTCTTTTTATTGTCAGTGATCCTTGGAAAGAAAAACATTGTGGCAAGAGAGTTATGTTGGATTTATATTAGTCTTTGGGACCAGCTAAATCTCTTCCAGTCATATTTTATCTCCTTGTCCGAACTCATATTTGGAAGCATGCAAAGATCAGGGATTAGAGGAAAGAAATTAAAATGTCAAAAGGAAAATGTAATTAACTTTATCATAAAGGCTTTTGAACTGTTTTGTGTTATGAAGAGCCAGTTACCCATAGGTCTTAAAATGTACTCAGTATAATAATATTACACTACTCATATGCGAAGTCATGCAGTAGAATTTGAAATGTAGCTTCTTCAAATAAATTTCAAGCAGTAGGGTATCGTATATCCTATCCTATGTAAAGGACATGCAGGCCTGCTTCTTTAGTCACCTGAGAGAATTTGGTTTCAGTGAATAAAGGAGGATATTTTCTAAAATGACAAAAATGGAAAAGAATTTCATAAAGTCATAGAATACTTTGGGTTGGAAGGGACATTTAAAGGTCATCCAGTCCAACCCCCCTGCAATGAGCAGGGACAACATCAGCTTGATCAGGTTGCTCAGAGCCCCGTCCAACCTGACCTTGAATGTTTCCAGGGATGGGGCATCTACCACCTCTCTGGGCAACCTGTTCCACTGTTTCACCACCCTCATCGCAACAAATTTCTTTCTTATATCTAGTCTGAATCTACCCTCTTTTAGTTCAAAATCATTACCCTTTGTCCTATTGCTGCAGGCCCTATTAAAAAGTCTGTCCCTGTCTTTCTTATAAGCCCCCTTTAAGTACTGAAAGGCCACAATAAGGTCTCTCCAGAGCCTTCTCTTCTCCAGGCTGAACAAACCCAACTCTGTTAGCCTTAAGAATGATCTTGTACATAATTTTCTTTGCATTACTGTGGACTAAACTTGTCTTCTTTAGTTCCTCCAAAGATACAGCGTGGGCCTCGAGTTTTGAAAGTCCAAGCTGGCCACAGAGTTGACATACCCTGCAGCGCCCAGGGGATCCCTCCCCCAACAATCACTTGGTTCAAAAGCAGAAGTGCTGTGCCGATAAATGGTGGGCAGTTTATCCACAGCCTGGATGGAGCTCTAAGCATCAGCAACATCCAGCTTCCCGATGCTGGAACCTACAAGTGTGTCGCTAGTAACGTAGCAGGCAGTGACATGTCAGAGATAACGGTACAAGTTCAAGGTATTTATGTTAGGGCTGTAATCTTGCCTCCTGCCCTGGCTAGGTATAATTTCATGTCAGTGCTGTCTGGTTTGTGTTTTGGAGAGCAATGCTCTTTGCTGTTGACTGTTACATGATGCAAAATCAAAATCTGCTTTAAATGTTATGTTCTTGTGTTAATTAAGGAAAATTAGAATAGGCAAATCCGTCTTTGGAGAGTTTGCAGAAATAAGAAGAAGAAACTCAAAATACATTACTTTTTTTTTTTAAATTTAAAAAAAAAAAAAATCTTCAAGCTACTTATGATTTGGTTTTGTAGTAGGTAATTAAAATCAGATTCCAGTATGGGAAACCACTTTTTCCAATATTAACTCTGTGTGTTCAGATGTCTCACACTTTCAGAGACTGTCTCTGAACCTCAAAGCCTGGTGTCACAGCTTTAAATGGAATTGGAATTTAGCATGAGCTGAAATTGAGCTCTTCACTTAATCAGTTAGTATGCTATTGAAATGGTCATGGGGCAACAGTGGTCAACATGCCAATTTAAATATGTAGTATAACTCCTCCCTTGATGGGCTGACATGCATCAATGTAGCATGACTGACTTAAGCTAAGCAATAATATTTCTTCTTTATAGTAGTCTAAAGGCAACATTCTGATCCCTTTGGATTAGAGGTGCTGAGAACCGCTTGTTACAAACAACAAAGAACTGCCATTAACTTTATTTGATTATAAATAATATTCTTTGTATAGTCTCAGTCCACACACCAGTTTAAAATGAGATGCCGGAACAAAGGATGGAAGTAGTACTAATACATGGTATGAGAAAAAATGTTTTAAATAGTATTTTTCAGATTTGCAGAAACACTGTCTCTACCTACAAAACAAATATAGTAGGTTTTAAGGAGAACCAATTTCAGTCAAATTTGAAAGCCTCTTTGTACTGCTTGCTTCCCAAATATTCCTGTTGAAATCAAGACTGCTTGTATAGTACACTTCATGAGCGTAAAGGGGTTATTGGAATCTGGTCTTGTGTGAAGGAGAGACAGTTAGAAGTGTTATGTATTGCCAGACCCTATTTTCACATTTGGGAGCAGAGATAAAGAATTTTTTTGGGGGTCTAATTTTCTTTCAGAGTCTCCTACTATCGATGATCTGGACCCTGCATACAATAGTCCCTTTCAAGAAAGAGTGGCAAATCAACGCATTGCATTCCCATGTGCAGCAAAAGGTGTGCATCATTGTTACAATCTTTAGTGACAAAAGTATGTTTTTCTGTTGACCACTGAAAACTACTAAGCTTCTGTGTATTCCTTGTCATGGTAAAAGTGTACAATCTGCACAGTATTTTCCATTTATACTTTATGTGGAAAAATTTAAATAGGGATTTAAATAACCACCATATGTGGAAGTTCTGTGAAAAGTCATGGCTAGCCAACAAGGATATTATAAGGTTTAGGACTAAGATTTTCAATGTTAAAATCATACTGTAACAGTCAGGGCTTCCTCTAAGTTTGAAATCTCATGTCCTCCCTGTGCATTGTCCTTGCCAGTAAGACCTCCAGCAAGTAGTGGGAATTGTTTTAATCTGTCTTATTCTGAGCTGAGTGAACCGTTTCTTGAAGTTTCATGTTTTTCTTGTTAGGTGTTCCAAAGCCTGTCATCAAATGGCTACGTAATGGAAGAGAGCTAACAGGCAGTGAACCAGGGATTTCAATTCTGGATGATGGGACACTGCTGATCATAGCTTCTGTTACACCTTCTGATAATGGAGAGTATATCTGTGTGGCAACCAACGAAGCTGGAAGCACAGAAAGAAAATACAATCTGAAAGTTCACGGTAAATCATAAATACAACTGTTGGGGAACTGTTCTTGAAAAACATCTTCTCTTTTATTGCTAGAAATTGCATGCCCCAAATCTGCCCATGTGCAGTTAAATTATAAAATCTAATCTGAGTACTTGCATTTCTATTATTCTGGTACTTTGTATGTTTTTTCTGTTCTGTGTGACTTTATGCACAAACCATCTTTGTTTTGCTGAGAGCTAGGTGCATCGCACTTGTAGAGGGCTCTAGTTATACTTGAAAACTTTAATGCAATTAACAAATGAAGACTTTTGTACTGTAGAAATTAAAGATTGGGTGATAGATCTGCATTTCAAATATAAATATGAGAAAAGTTATTTATCAGAATGAATGTAGAATAGGAGAATTCTTGCTCCTGATATTCTTCTTCCAGAATCCTAACTGGAAAATAGAAACTCTACAGGTGGCCTTGAGATACGTTTTGATATTTTGCTTCTAACAGAGTACTTTTATTCGAGCCTTGTTCACTTCCCATGAGAGATACTTCTGATGCCTGAGCAGGATTATATCCTTGTCTTTATTCTGAGAAAAGAGGAATTCCATCTTGTGCAAGCAGGGCTCATCAGTGGGGTTTGAACTCTCTAATCCACCACATAAGGCTATTCTCTTTGCATTCATAGTGGGACAAATGATAGGCAGATGTTCTTGGTGATGACTGGAGCAGTGAAGAGGAAGGATGACTCTCTGGAATTTGCTTCTTTTATATGCTAAGCAAATAACATGGCATTTTAAGATTAAATAAAATTAAATTTAAGATGAAATTTAAAGATTATTCTCTTAAAATGTTGATGGTGTCTGTGTTTGAGTGAATTTCACTGGGAGTCTGATATTGGGCAAGAGAAGACACTTTTTTTTTTTTTTTTGACAAAGAGAAGAAAGGACACAGGGAGACACGTCTGGAGCCAAAAGGCAAATAGAAACATTGGGGAGGGAATGAAGAGGGTCTGAGAAATTTAGATTACAGTTGTCCTTCACTTAGGAGGGAAGGAGGAAGTGGGAAATCACTGGAATAGAAGGCTTAATACATGACTTTGAGCTTTCTTGTAGTTCCTCCTGAAATTAGAGATCAAGAAAAGGTGACAAATACATCTGTCGTTGTTCATCACCCTGTAAGTCTCTTCTGTGAAGTATCTGGTAACCCCTTTCCAATCATCTCCTGGTATAAAGATGATATCCAGGTATGTACGATTAACCTAACTGAAGTAACATAGCAATCATCAGTCAGTTTTTCGTTGACTTTTGAGTGCTTGGTATGAGAACTCATTTAAAGTAAATATATGTACATGCCTTTATGTATATTTAAACTGCACTAAGAATACCCACACAGAAAGCCAGATAAATATGGCTAATCCATTAATTCAGCTGTTCAATATGTCAAAAGTAAACTCTTTGTTTTCAAGATTCCCCTAGGAATTAGCATTAGCAATCTCCCAGTATTGTAGATGCCAGAGTCCTTGCAGAGGGGACATAATGGTATTTTCTTCATTCTGTAGATGGAGAAATAAGAACTCTTGGAGGTTTGAATTCTTCAGGATTATCCTTGAGTCCTATGCTTCTACTTGTAGCTGATAAGTGATACTTTAAGATGCGCCTTTTTTTTAATGCACCTTTGTGACTGACCATTACTGATGGACGAAGAATTTCTTCGGTTTTCCAACTCTCTGTTGTATGTTGAGCTACAAGTCATATTGAATAGATTGCAGCAGTTGAGGAGATTAGTGCTGTAACTGAAAGGGGAAATAGATTATTCTTAGACTAAAACTACCATTTCCTTACAAAAATCGAGCTGTGATATTTGGCTGATATATCTTGGATCACATAAGACTAATGTTTTGGGTTCTTTTAAGGTTGTGGAAAGCAGTACTCTCCAGATTTTGCACAATGGGAAGATACTGAAGCTCCTTAAAGCTGCTACTGATGATGCTGGACAATATTCATGCAAAGCCACAAATGTAGCAGGAAGTTCTGAGAAGCTGTTTAACCTAGATATACTAGGTTAGTTCCATGTTTTTGGTTTTTGTGTTTGGTTTTGGGTTTGGTTTTGTTTTTTTTTTTCCCCAAGATGGTGATCTGAAAAACAATTGAGACTTAAGAAGCCCTTAAATTTCAATTTATTATAAATTAATTCTTTCTCTCACTGCCCATTAAATATTGGTTGCTAAAGCACTCTTCATGGTGGCTTTTGAAGACTGAAAATTTGCCATTCTTGTAGTAACACAGACAAAATTCTGCTTTTCATTTCTGGATTTTAGTCTTTGGTATTTTGTTCTGTATTTTGGGTGTACAGCAGTCTAATATAGGAGTCTTCTTATGTACTGTTCACCAGCAGAAGTGTGGAAGTGTTTGCCATGATAGAAATGATGTGACTGAGCAGGAGTCACTTTGCAGTGAAAACTAAAGCTGTTTCAAGGGAATAGGATGATGCACTACTGCATTTCTTCCAGTTTCATAGTATACCTTCCTGGTTAAATACCAGTTCTTCCTGTAATGTTTCTTTTAAAGTTCCACCAACTATAATGGGTGCTGATACCCCTGGTGAAATTGCAGTCATCCTCAATCAGGAAATCAGTCTGGAATGTAGAGCCAAAGGCTTCCCTTTTCCTGACATTCACTGGTTCAAAGATGGCAAGTAAGTATATTACAGCTTTTGTGGTTTGTGTCTAGGTTATTCCTCCTTTCGAATGTAGAGGAAGAAGGTGCACTGTACCAGCAAGCTCAGCTTTTAACTAATTAGTTATTGTCAGTGGATAAAATTGTGGTGGTGTGATGTGGCAAGTTCTTTAATCAAAAGTTAGCATCCTCCTTTTCTTTGTGAACTGTCCTATTACTGACGCTGGCACTTGCAGAGCAGATTTACAGTATTTGAAGCCAGACAATGCTTGCACCAAGACAAAGGTAACCTTTCTTTTTTTTTTGAGTTTATTGTACCTGGATTACTTTAAACTTATCATTAGTTAAAACAGAGTTGTTTTGCTGACATGATTTTTTCATTGGTAGATGGTACCCATCAAACGTTTTTCTAGCTAGCGCCTTGTGCAGTTCTGCATGCTTTAAATGTCTTAATACATTTGTAGCCTGCATGTTTCAGTTCTTCATCTCATCTTCCAGGAAAGGATACCAAGAGAAGAATTCTTGGTGGCTGAAAACCAAAATGGGCTGTGTTTTTAAATAGTGTTGGGCTTTGAGAATGTAGTTCAGTATAGGCATTGGCTAGTACTCACAGATGTTCTGATGTGACAATTCCTTATTCTTTGGTATTAATATGTTGACACTTTCATCTAGTAAATGCAGATGTTTTGTTATCAGCAAAGGACTGTCATGACGTAAGTAATTAGAAAAAGAAACTGAGATCAGGAGTAGGACTCTGGCTCTGATGCTGGCATCCTGGATGACCTAAGTACTTTGGTGTTTTGGTTTCTTCTAAAAACTAGGAGTAAAGTTAATTATAATAGTTTGTCACTTTATGGTGGCTCTTTGGATTAATGCTGTTGCTCTAGTGCTAAATGGTGCTCTGTAATGGTACAATTACTGCCATTGAAGGACCCCTTCTTATTACTGTCAGTTTAAATTAATGTTGAAAGGATGGGGTCAGAGTTCTGTGAAGCAAAATAATCTCTATTCCAGGCCCTTGTTTTTGGGTGATCCCAATGTTGAGCTTCTGGACAAAGATCAAGTTCTACACATAAAGAGTGCTCGAAGGATTGACAAAGGTCGTTATCAGTGCAGCGCCACCAACGCTGCTGGCAAACAAGTTAAGGAGGTCAGGCTGATCATCCATGGTAAGTTTTATAGAATGCCTGATCTGGAAGATCCTTTAATTTCACTCATAAGATTTTTTTTTTGAATGGAGATGCTTAAACAAATATAAATTAAGGCCCTGATCTTGCAAAATTTGTATATAAACATAACTTAATACTCATCTGTCAACAAAGTGATTTTTTTGAGCATTTATGTGTGTCAAATTAAGTATGGATGTAGTCGTTGCAAGCTTGGCCTTTAAGTGGCTTTTATGTGCTTTTTATTAGTTTCTAATTGGTGAAAGCCATAAATCTTGAAAGGCCTTCTCAAATGTTGCTATTAATTAGTTTCAACTGAATTATTTTATTATCACATTGGCTTCATTATTTTGATCTGTCTTAGGAAAATTAATTAAAAGATTTTTATTTTGATACACTCATGGTCTTCTTTTCCTTAACCTAGTGCTAGGAGTAAATTCAGCCAGGAATAAGTTCAAGTTAGTGCAAAAGCACTTTGCACTTTATAGTGCAAAACCAGTAAGAATCAGACCCTGATAGTCTTTGGAAAAGAATGTTCCAGATGATTTTCAGGTAGTGCGATATGTCATCTTGCTTAGAATTGGTGTAAATTGAGGTCACTTATAGCAAGAGAAGAAGCGCTAGCATGAGTTACCATATTTATAGCACACAGTATACTTTTTTTGTGTTTTTACAAGGAGTGGAGTCTTAGCAAAGACATGGAGAACAGACAATTCCTGTGATTTAGATAAGTTTAATGTAAATTAGGAGATTATCAGTTGGGAGAAAAGGAGGGGAAAGATTCATGGAAGAAGGAAGAAGTGGCTTTCAAAGGAAGACTTCAAAGGAGACAAGAGGAAGAGTTTTTCTAATTTGGAAGACAAAGAATGTGTGAAAGCCCAGTCAGACCTGAAAACTGAGAGAGCACAGTGCTAGCAGAAATTAGGGGGAAACAAGTGCAGAAATCTCACAAGGTGAGATAACACTCTTGTGCCCAGACTGTGAAGTGTAGGAATTTGAATCTGTGAGCCCTTAAGCTGATGAGTCCTCATTCGCTATGGGTTTGCTTCTGAAGATTGTGTCTTTTTCTTCTGGTAACTGTGAACTTATAATACATTATTTCCCTCATCTGGGATGTTTCTGAAGCACGGAGTAACCACATGCACAAAAGTATGCCTGTACACCAATCATAGTGAATTCTTTTTCCATTGGGAACAAAGAAAATACTGTGAGGACTTGCAGGTGATTGTGGCTGTTGTGAGATTAGAGGAATAAAAAACCCCACACAAATAAAATCCTTGCAGATGAGTAGACCTTACTTAAAGTTCTTTGGAAGTGGTAGGTGAATTTGTGATTGTAGAACGGAATCTCTCTTTACTTTTAAATTTATTAATCCTGGTGGGACAAAAAGAAGTTACAGAGTAAGTGAGGAAACCTAGATGCTAATTCTTGCTAGTCCTTACTTTGTTTTAGCTATTTAGCCCTACTTTTGGCTTTGATATTTTCCCAAAACACCATGTTAAAACCATTCCCCATCTCTGTGCGTGAAAGCATTTGCTGATAGAGGAAATGCATTGGTCTTTGAACTTGGGTGTGTTTCAGCATATTTTATAGGTTTATTTTTGCACACAAATAATTTACTTACAAAAATATTTCATCATTGTTTGATAATCTGCAACACCCATCTCAGGTGTAGATCCATTCACTGACACTTTGCTTTACATTTCTGCAGTGGCATTTTAAATGAATGCTGTGGAAGTCTAGGATATACTGAGCATGCTTGGCAGCAGAGGAGTTAATGTGTCTGCCAGATGTGTCTGGTACTTTCAGCAGTCATAAATTTAGTTGTTGCCAATTGCACTGTGTTTTTATTACTTCTACAGAGATTTACGAACTCTTTATATTGGCTGATTTACATGAGAGCTTGTTTGCTAGAAAAATCTGAGTACTGCTGCCTAGTGAGCAAGGGAAATTACTTCGGGCCAAAAGTTTCAAAAATAGGAGCATAAAGCTAGACTGCTAAGCTCATGTTTAGTCTCAAAGTAAGTGACTTCATCTTCAGAAGTTTTAAGTACTGAGCAGTTCCCACTCTATTTGTAGAGGCTCTTGGATGTATTTTGTATTTTAAATAGCAGGTTGCTGTTCCTTGTTGGGAGGATGCACCTCCCAAGGTATACAGGGATTGCTCTTCCCCCTCAGAGACAGGGAAGAGGCAGAGCCATGCCCAAATGCATTGCTGTCCTAACTTGGCACATGTTGGAGCCTAGAAGGTAAAATGTTTCCGGGTACCTCTAGTGGGGCAGCAATGCTTTGTAATGCCCCTTGCTGTGGCACTTGTTTCTTAAGTATATGGTGGCCCTTTGACGTTAGATTCCTTTTATATTGCATTCTCTTCATGCTTTCAACTCTCAGTGTGCCCCAGAGAATTATACAGGCAATGTATAACTCTGCTGGGGAAAAAAAAAACAAACAAAAAACACCAGGAAGGGTTGGAATTTTGATTAAGCTAAAATCTTTCATTCTTTACAGCATTCTAATGTTTAATCTATTTAAATCTACACAGACTTGTATACGAAGGCTTTAATACTGTTGTTTTGTCTTTTGAAATAGTCCCTCCTAGTATTAAAGGAGGGAATATTACCACAGAGTTGTCAGCACTTCTTCACAATCTTATACATTTGGAATGCGAAACCAAGGGAATCCCTGTTCCTACAATTACATGGTACAAAGATGGACGCCCAATTATTTCCAGCCCCCAAGCTCTGTATGTGGATAGAGGGCAATTCCTGCAGATACCTCAGGCCCAAGTATCAGATTCTGCAAAGTACACTTGCCGTGTGACCAATGCTGCTGGAGCTGCTGAAAAAATATATGACGTGGATGTCTATGGTAAGCAAAAGTTCATTGAACTTTGTTATTTGCCATGTTACAGGAAGTGTGATTTGAAAGCTTTTATGCCTTCATAACATCAACAACCTCTGCAGGCCTGTCAAGGATGGCCAGCAGTCAATTGTTGTGTTTAAAGTCTGGCCTGTATTAGAAGGACCATGCAGAGGGAGCTTTACACCCTGTGCTTTGTGTGACTTTCAAAAAGCTCTTGACTTCAGGGGCCTTGATACCATGCTTTAGTGAATTATCAAAACTATTTCTTCTCCATGTATCCTTTCTCTTTCTCCCATATACATGCTGAACAACACTTATCTGAGATACCCACTCTGGGTGGGATTTTGTGTACTGTTTTAAGACCTTCAGATTTAGTTCTTCCATCTCAAAGCCCTGCAGATCCTCTGTTTTATACAACTGGTCAATATTGAACTACATCATTTGACTTCTCTGTTTCCTCTTTGTCTTGGCTTGCACTGGTAGCAAATTCTCACATGAAATTGTGCGTGACATAATGGCATATAGAGCCAAAGTGAGTGGGGAGGAACTACTCCATTTGCTCTTAATACATTTTCTGGCTACAGAATTAATCACTTGCAATATATTGTTTCCTTTCTACAGTTCCTCCAGTAATTGAGGGCAACGCTGACACAGCCCAGAACAGGCAGGTGGTTGCTGGCAATTCACTGATGTTAGAGTGTAAAGCTGCTGGCAACCCTCCGCCCCTCCTGACCTGGTTAAAAGATGGTGTGCCTGTGAAAGCAAGCGACAATCTCCGCATTGTATCTGGAGGGAAGAAGCTGGAGATTCTGAACGCTGTTGAGGCTGATCGGGGCCAGTATTTGTGTGTGGCCACAAGCATAGCTGGAGAACAACAAATCAAATATGAAGTTGAAATCTTAGGTGTGTGAACAACAGAACTACTGATTTCTCAGATTTCCATAAGCCTAATAAAGCATGCTTTTATTTTTGTTAGTATCGTTATATGAAAGATCACTTAGTCAAGTTGCGTACATAGTTAAACGTGGGCACTGCATGCTTTTTCTGTCCAGGGTTATGGGACAGCTTGAAGACTCTTACTTTCAGGTTAGTTCTTGAAGAGTTTTCATGCATGTGGTAGGTAAATATTATCCTCACGAACCTCTAAAATTCTTCTAACTTGCCTTTCTAGAAGAAAATCATAGATATGAAAGGAATCAATTAAAAAATAGCACTCAGTAGTTGCCTCTGGGGGAAGAACACCTTTCTCTGAGTTTGAGCTGTGTTGTGCAAATTTGAACCTTTCATGAAGAAGATTTTTTTCTTCTTTTTCCATTGAATCCTTTACCATGGTCTGAATCTCAGCAGTCCCTTCTGAATGTCTCTAGGTAAATGAATTATACAAATGTTAATCACATTCTCCTGACATGGAAGGGTTTATTTAGGAACTTTAAAGACTTGATTTTTAGGCTTTGAACTGCCCTCTTGAAGAATGTTACATACTATTGCCTGCAGATGTAGAGCATCCATTCTGCCACTCCAGGTATTTCTCACTGGTCTTGCTAGTCAGTGAAGGAGCTGGGAGGAGCTGTATGGCAGTGCTTCCTCCCCAGCCCAGCCGCTCCTGTAACAGAATGAGACAGGGTGAAGACGACCTAGAAGACGGTCCTCTGCACCTTTGTTTTCTCCTTTGGTGACAGAGGGTGCTAAAAGTCGTCTGCCCACACCCCCCGCCATACATGCTGCATTCATGAGGTTGTTCAGAAAGAGGGTACTAAAAGTCCCCCACCCCATTCACAAGGTTGTTCAGACAGAATCTGGAAAAAACAAACAAGAAACAATAAAAAAGAATAAGGAGGGTAATCTGAAACCACAAAATATTATTGGGTAGATGTTTTCCTTCAGAAAGAAAGTGATGAACTGCAAATCTGTGTGTATCCCAAAGTGAGATAGATGTCAAGATTTTTTTTTTTTTAACATAAGTATTTGAGATAGACTTTTATGACATTTCTAATGCTTAAGTGTTTCTGTTGATGGATCTTTCTCTCTTACAGTCCCACCATTTGTGGAAGCTGGGGGTGAGCTCTTGGACTACATTGTGATTCTCCATAGCCCTTTGGAGTTGGATTGTTCAGCAACAGGCACACCCTCACCAACTATCACGTAAGGGGATTGCTATAACACTAGGAAAAAAAAAAATCTGCTGGTTGATTAGGTGAGCTTGGAGGTAGTCTTTATGAACTGCCCATGTTATTTAGTGATGATTAATGTGTGGAGGACAAACTCCTGGCTTCACTGAAGACAGTGTCAGGCACACATATGGCAGGATCAGGATTTTGTTTTAAAGTAGTTTGGTATGTTGTACCAATATGCATGTACTAGAAATTAGGATAGATAAAAAGAGCTGACAAAACTGTCATTCCCTTGCTAATGCAACTGTATACTTTTCATCTGCCACCAGTGACTGCTTTTGCTTTGGAGATTTCTGTCTGCCTCTGGCATTTGCTTTCACTACTGCTTCCTAGCCATCACCCTTCTGACTTCTGTAGTGCCTGTTCCCCTATACTCCCTTCTGATAAATCATTTTGGTCTGTGGTACTTGGAAAAGCAGAATAGTACCCAACATCTCCACACCTTCCTAGAAACACAAATAGAGTTACCAAGACATTCTGTTTAGCAGAATTGTGCATATTTTAGAGTGTCGTTGATTTTACTTTCATAGAGATCTGAGTTTGTACTTTCTTTTTGGTAGGTGGTTGAAAGATGGTCAACCGGTTGAAGAGGGAGCTGGACATAAGTTCTTATTAAATGGACAAAAACTTCTCATCTCTCGAGCTCAAGTGTCAGACACTGGCCGCTATAAATGTGTGGCTGCAAATAAGGCAGGACAACATGAAAGGGAATTTGATGTTACTGTGCATGGTAGGTTACTCAAGGGTGAGGGGGAAAGCAGCAGACTGCCTTTATTTTAAATTGCTGGCAAGAAGGTACTCAAATGTTCTGTAAATGTTTATTTGTATTAGTGGGTTGAAAAATTGGAGATGAGAGTAGATGACATAGAAGTAGAGCTGCTCTTACCTGTGGGATATTGCTTCTCTATATTTAAATGTATATATTCAAATGAGACTTCATTTTTGTTTCTGGTGCTTCTTGCAGTTCCTCCAACCATCAAATCAGCTGGGACTTCCGAGAGAGCTGTTGTGATATACAAGCCTGTGATGCTGCAGTGCATAGCCAATGGTATTCCCAGCCCTTCCATAACTTGGTTAAAAGATGGTCAACCAGTAAACACAGCCAGAGGAAATATAAGAGTAAGCACTACTCTTTTATGGGATCCAAACCATGAAAGATAGTTACAATGTTATACATGTTAGTGCTGCTTTTCCTTCTGCTTCCCTCACGCTGTGACATAAAGATGCTAAAGATCCATCCTGGAGAGCAATGGGCTTTTCACCTGCATAGGATGGTATCTCAGATTGAATAGCAGTATTTAGTAGACTGAATCCCATTAGACACTTCCATACCAGAAGAGTCCGTGACTGTAAATTCAGCATCTGGCTCCTTTCAGTTGTACTTTAACCTTCAAGGTATGGTTGTCTGCCAGTTACGAGGTGGCTTTACCAACCTGTCACGGTGAGGAGGGATTTAGATGAGTTTTTCAATAAGCACTGCCATTGCAGCACCTACCTATATATTCCCTTCTCATTGTGAGATTCTGACTTTCAATAAACAGCCCTTCCCAGTGCTTGCATGCTCCAGGGTGTCGAGTGCTTGTAATGGCTTTGATTTACTTTAGGCTGGAGCAGTTTTTGACATCTTGCCAGCAGCAGCTCTCTCTGCCTGCAGCCTCCTCTTCACCTTGCTTGCCTGCCCCTCTGCCATCTAGGTCTCCTCACAGCTGTACAGCTAACAGTTCTGATGTCGCAGGAACACTGAAGTCTCTGAACTACCAAGACACCTCTTGCATGAATATTAGCCCCAGGTTAGAAGAAAGATGAGCCTTGGCTGTATTCAGCATAAATGTCTGCTTGAAAGATGAGCCTTGGCTGTGTTCAGCGTAAATGTCTGCTTGTCTGCTTCGCCATTATGCTTAGCGGCTCTGCCTGGGATCATTGTGTAAAGTGATTCCCTGCTCTCTGTTTTGGTACAGCTGGAGTCTTCAGGCCGTATTCTGCAAGTTGTCAAGGCCCTGCTTGAAGATGCTGGCCGATACACTTGTGTGGCAACAAATGCTGCAGGAGAAGCCCAACAGCACGTTCGGCTTCATGTGCATGGTAATGTTTCTGCCTCTAGTTATAGGCTAAATGTGGCTGGTTTTAAGGCAGCTTTTTTATGTCTGTATTCCCTTCTCTTTTAAGCTCTCTGGCATTTTTGTTGTCTCTGCACATCCATTGTTCAGTTTTCTTTCTTTGTCCCACTCCATTAGTAAGAGGTCAGGGCAAAAGCTATCTGTCTTGGGATTTAGCCTTTCTCATGTGGTACCGAGGGCCACAGAAATGAATGCCTTTCCAGTTAACTCTTCTGTTCAGAGGTACCCCAAGAAGCCACATGTTGCAACTAACCCACCACTCAGAAGGGTACTCTGTTTCTGAATCGAGATACGATGTACCACTGTTGGCATTATTAATTTGATCCAAGTCTTCTGGGGATAACGGCATTCCCCATGACCTTGCAATGGGGAAATTTTACAGGAATGACTTTTCTGAGAAAGAAACATTCTCTTATGAGGGGATTTTTCAGACTGTTTAAAAGGAATTTTATTTTTTTAGCTAAAAACATTATAAAAAGAATCAGGGAAACTTGAGAAGCTCTTGTTTGCATGAGAATTTAATAAATGCTCTCACCATGATTTACGTATATTTGCCTCAGAAGTGGTCACGAAGTATTGTGCATTCATGACATGATGCAATCCTCAAAGGATACAGGAGGTGCAGGAATGGACTGTGGCAAAATGCTCATGATGAGTATGATTATGTTGACTTTCATTGTCAAACCAAATTTCCAGTAACTGGAAAATGCTAAACTGAAATGAAGAGAGATTGCAGTATCTCCATGGATGAGACTTAGAAAGAGAAACCACGCTCATCTTCTACTGTGATAATTGCATCATAGTTAATTTTAGTGTCAGTCCCATGCTCACAAATACCTCTTTTGTTCTCAGTCTTCAGGTTCAAAGTGTCATTATCTGGTGTTTCTGTCATTTTGCAAATTTATAGACCTTAGTAAGGTAAGCAGTCTTGCTTTGTTAAAGCCATGTACAACATTCAGTTTAATGTTACCGGCTGAAGTGAGATGAGCTTGCCACGTTAGAAGAATTACTGTTCTATGTTGTGCACCCATTTCCTACAAGTCCATTTTAAGTGCCATTTTTCTTGAAAAAATAAAAACCAATAAAAATAATGTTTTATTTCTATTAACACTAATGAGGTTATACAATTAGAGAGTATTCTCATTTCGAAGATGAACTTTCTTGAGAAATTCCTTGGTCATCCAGCTGTTAGTTGAAGCTTGTGCAATTCATTGCCCAAAGTTTCTCAGAGGGCAGATTACTTTGTGATTGGATGTTCTGCTAGGTGGGTGGCTGAATTAATGAAAACCTGATGCCTTTGTCTTTTCCCAGAACCACCCAGTCTGGAAGATGCAGGGAAAATGTTAAATGAAACAGTGGTGGTGAATAATCCAATCCATCTTGAATGCAGAGCGTCTGGGAACCCTCTGCCAGGTATGCACATGCACCTTGAGAACATGAATCAGATCTGATAAAAAGTTTTCACTTTTATGTGTCTTTTGAAAATTATTCTGAATGTGAAGTTAATTCTGTGGTTTTTAAACTAGCTAGAAACTATTAAATGCTATATATAATGGGAAATGTCAGTATATCAACTGATGTGGAGTAAGTATTGAGGAATTCAGTAATCCCCACCATTTTTAATTAAACGAATGAAAAACACAAGGATAATCTACTCCCTTGCACGTACAACGATGTCCTGTCCATAGACAAGAATACTGTTAGGCTTCTGCTAGATCAGCTTTAAACACATCCACTCTTTTCCCCTGTCAGGTCAATATTTTATAGTGTAGGGCAGACTTAAAACGATACCTTGTGGATTGAGTGTGCTTGTGAAATGCGGCCATGTCTGAAGGGCCTTATCTAAAGTCTGTTGAAATTAATAGGAGGCTCTTTGTTTGGTCTGGGCCCTTTGCCTGTGAGAATGAGTAGATTTTCTGTGTCTGTACAGTGCTTTCTGTGGCTTACCCCAGTGATAAACTATACTAATGAATTTCTGGGTTCTCCTTATATTTTAAGCTTTGAAAACTAGGCCATATATATCTGTTTGTGTTTTATTTTTCTCCTATTTTGTGGAATTATAATTTTTTTTTTTCTTCTTTTTTTTTTTATTTAAGGTGAGTTTCCCATAGAAATCATAGACATTTACCCAAGTGGGAGCTGAAGGAGTTTGGCTCCTGCTAAGACTGATGGATCTTTTTAATTGTTTCTGAACTCAAAAAAATCTAAAGCAACCTGGATTTTACTTACTTCATTGCTGGGATTCCTTCAGTGCTAGGACTTTTAGATTAGGGGTTTTTTTGTTTGTTTGTTTTGGGTTGTTTTGTTTTTTTTTTTTTACAGTTAATCTTTTTTTGTTCTTCTTGTTGAGATATGCAGATAAAAATTTATTTCCTTCTTTTTTCCAGTGTGTGTTTTTTGTTCCCACCTTGTTCTGCTGGTATATAAAAATACCATGTTAATATGAGAATAATTTTCTGTATTAATTATTGTACAGCAAAACTTGGAGAATAATGTATAACCAATATATTATATCTAGTATAGCAATTTATTCTTGTGCTGATGATAGTCCCATTTTCAGAAGGGTGTTACTAAATTTCAGGTGAGCATCTAGGTTCACCTTCTCTGCCTTTTAAAGAACTAATTCTCAGCAAGTATTATTTTCTAGAATCATTTATACCTGTATAAAACAAAATTTGAAATTGTTGGGGGTGTATGTAAAATGTTATGAAAACATAAGGATTTTATGTCCATTTTGCACTCTTTTTGTCTCATCAAATTGCCAACTGTTTTAGGACAAACAATTAAAATTATGGAGTTCATGTAATTTATGAAATAAAACCAGTTTGTTCACCTCTTCTATGTATGATGTGATGCTACATACTAATGTCAAGATACGACATGAGCTAAAAAAAGTGATAGCGCAACATCACACTGAAAAAGAAGCTTGTCTGCTGTCTTGTTTATGTCAGGCCAGATTGCTTCTTGAATGTTGTGTCTTTCACAGAAAACTTGTGTGCTACACAAAATGATTCAGTAAGTATCAGTTTCATCTAACTGAATAGTGAAGTGATGCCAGTAAAACATTAGTTATACATTCTGCTGATGGAGGGTGCCATCTTTTGGCTGAGATGCAAAAAAAAGTCCTCAGATTTTGTTGATTATCAAGTTCCTATAAAATTTTCTTTTTGAGTAATACCAGTTTTCTGGGCTTTATTTTCAGTTTTCCAGCCTGTCAGTTGAACTTTGATTTGGTTGCTTGCATTTTGGTTCTGTAAACTTTCCCAGGTGGTTCAGTTTAATGTAGCAATACTTCAGGGTAAAAGGTGAAAAAATTGTATCTATAATATTATTGGATATTTTGAAACAGCTGCTGTTGGCCTTGGTATGAGATGAGTAAATCCTCTATAAGTATGCTTTGTGTGATAAGTTTTTAACTTCAGAACACTTTTTTCATAAATACATGGTATGCATGGATGATAGTGTCAAGTTTGCTATTGAATTCTCTAGGCATAATTAGTATTTTGCACAAATGTTACTGATTTCCTCATTTTCTAGTTACTTTTTGCTGTTATAATTATGATTGATATTGGTTTGTAAATGTTGGTGTTATGTATCTGAAAACTTAGATGGAAAGTTTGAAGGCTATTTAGTCCCTGTGTTTGTAATGGGGGTATTTTTGGCAACTTTTCCATCTTTCCTTTCATTATGCAGCTATCACATGGTACAAAGACAATCATCCACTTACCAGTGCTGCAAGTGCTGCTTTTCTGAACAGAGGGCAAGTTCTGCAGATTGAGGGTGCTCAGATCTCCGACACTGGCATTTACAAGTGTGTGGCTGTCAACACAGCGGGCACAGCTGAGTTGTTTTACAGTCTTCAGGTTCATGGTAAGTATTATAAAACTTACAAAAAAACCACCTACGTGCACTTTTCAAGTTTCAAGTCTGCTTAGCAGACTTGCCATCACTCATCACACCATCATACCGGAAGACATACAGCAGGGGTCAGAGGGAAGAAAATTCACTCTTCTGTTTTTCAGCAACATGAATACATGTTTTGAATTAGGAAAACGTGTTAAGGGAAGTCAGTTCTAGGAAGAATGAGTAGAGATACCAGATTTGTGGAAGAGGCATTTGTGTTATCACTTCAGTAATTTGGAAGGCCTTGCAATTGCTGGGTTTTGCTGTAGATGACTTTAAAGCTCACAGTAGATAATGAAAGGACTTAGATCAAATGCTTTCTCATAATCCAAGAGTTTTAAAGAGAAATGTACTGCATGTAATAAGATGAAGTGGAAGTGTGGGTGTTTTTAGACATGAGACACCTGATCAAAAGCGAAATTGGAGCTTTTCCACTGATTTCAGTGGCTTTTGGATGGGGCCATAATCCAAATTCTTGTGTTTGATACATGCATACACATGTAGCTGATTTTCTGTGGGAGTCTTCCGTGCAAAACTGTGGCCCAAATTTGGCACAGTGTCCCCAGCTGAGATGCACGCAGAGTATGTAGTTCCTATTGATGTTAACTAACAAATAATGAGTTGGGCAGTACATTTCCATGGAATTAATGACCATCATGGGAAAAACTGACGGCTCAAGATGTGGTCAAAGGCAATTAACCCCACCCAGTGATAATTCCCAGGAAATATTTAGAGCCAAGGTCATTATTGTGGTTAAACCAAAAAATGAAAAATAACTCCTGAGTATATGTGTGTCTTTCTGCGGGTGGCGGAATTTCAGTGGATATGTCCGGAGTTTTCTACAGAGCTAATACTTTCTGACTTAGACGCATAAAATTGTTTCCCCTTCCAGAACAGAATATATGCAGTTGCAGCCAGAACTAATTGCATCAAAGGAAGGTGAAACACCTATTCATGAACCTACTTAATTCAGTTTGTGTGTGTCCTGCCAGGCTTACAATAGAGTGCTTTTTGAATTTACCGTGAATAAGTTTATCATCCAGTTTACTTAGAGTTTATGAGTTTAAGAAAAGAAACCTTGAGTTTTTTCCCCCCTCTTAATAATGGAAGCAAGAATGACTACTTAATGGAGAAAAGACTCTGAAGTGTCAAGTGCAGAAAGTTACGCTGCATTTACTGAAAGCCTGCTCTAGATTTCTGTATGGCAGTTGGCATTGTGAATGACCACTTATGTTGCTCGATTACTGGTTGTATTCAACAGCTTTTGTTGTTAATAGTGTTGTGGATGCAGTAGCTATGGTAGAAATTTTCAGGTCGTTTTTGCATTAAAAACAATGCTTGATACTTCAGGCTCAACATTAAATGAAACTAGACAGGCCTACTAAAGGAAGCAGGTTGAATTCCAGTTTAGTATGTTCATATGATTTTATTGTATTAATTTTTGTTCCCCTTCTTTCCCACCACTAACTTTTTCAGGCATTTGAGAACAATGGATGCTGTTGTAGTGAAATAGGTGAACTGTGTGCATGTGTGGGGGGAAAAAAGATTATAAAATCACACTTGCTTTTTTTCTGCCATTTCTGCTATTACTGGAATTTACCTAAGAGTAGGTAGCCTGAGTTAGAGGCTCTTAGAAGTTGCTGAATTTATTAATGATTCTTATTGTCAGTTCAGAATTTTATACATTTTTTTTTCCTCGCATAGGATATGTATTAGTAGATCACACCATGCTCATCTCTTTCTAGGCATGACTCCAAATATCAAGTTTTGTACTGAAACTGACAGTAAAGCTTTATTACTAAGTTATTAGTGGTGGGAGCAAATAAAATTGTTTTGATTCTCCTGGTAAATGAAACATCTCCAGTTTTTAATACTTTTGTCTCCCTTTTTAACATAGCTCTACAAAATTTGCTCGACTGTATACCTATAGTAAGTGTTTTGAGATGTTCCATTAAGATGTTTTTTATCATCAGACAGGCAGATGTTACACAGTCTAATCTGGTAAATGTTCACATATGCTTCGCAAGGCCAATTTATTACTCTGTGCGTGTATTTGCTTTATGCAGTTTATATGATAAACTTCTTTCTTTAATCCCCACCACTCTTAATGCCTTTCACAAGGCCTAAATGGAATATTATAAAAGTTTGAGGAAATATTTCCTGGTTTTATGTTATAGTTTCTGGGTTTCGCAGCTGTCCTCTGGGCTGTGGGCCCAGTCCTGCTTACCTTGCTCACAGTAGTTTCACTGAAGTTATCTGACTGCTTATGTAAGTAAAGAGTAGGATTTGGCACAGAGCAAACAAATGACAAGAGCTCAGTAGGAGTAACATGAGAAATCATTCCAGCAATGTAGTGCCTTGCAGAAAAAGAAATAATGTACAAAAGCAAGCGGCCCATTTAATTTCATAGTGATTAATACTCTTACGTAGCTGTTTCACCTTTGTTTTCTTTCTTTTTTTTTTTTTTTTTTCAGTCCCACCATCAATCTCTGGCAGCAGTGACATGGTGACAGTCGTGGTTAATAATCTGGTGCGACTGGAGTGTGAAGCAAGAGGCATCCCTGCGCCTATTCTGACGTGGCTAAAAGATGGTAGCCCTGTTTACAGTTTTAGCGATGGACTCCAGGTACTGGGTTCAAATCCTGCTATCTGTGCTGTTTCCTGTTGTGGTAGGAGACCTTAAAACCAGTACAGTTTAACGGAACTGTATAAGCTAGAGATTTTTGGAAAGAGAGTATAGGGCCTTTTGCTCTAGTTTATTGGTGCAAGTTTAGCTCCAGTAGTTACTGTGTGAAGTAGAAGATATGGATATATTGAAATAAGGTGGTCTTTTCAACTGATTTCATACTAAGTAAGAGCTTGCATCAGCAAATTTTTCACTTACTGGCAAGAAGAGGAAATTGGATCGTATTCCTATGCTGAAAAGATCTGTAGAGCTCAAGATTGTGCAATATCTTGTTACATAAAATGGTAATTCGTTACAAAAAAAAAAAAAAGACACGACCCCTGATGTAAGGAGATATTTCAGAGTTAAAAGGAGAGGTGATGTTTGTTTTATGAAAACTAGTTTTATGATCTGAAAGGAAAGAGGGGAAATTTGTATACTATGTGGACAACTCAGGGCACAGACAAAAGGTGTGACAATGTTTGAAACTGGTAAGAGGGAAGAATGTCCAGGTCCTGCAAAGATGTGTGAGGAGTTCCTCAGGAGGAACTGAGGAGTTCCCTATGGACTTGCATGAAGTTAGACTTCTGCTTTTGCAGGTCTCAATCAAAAGAGACCAACAGAGTGCAGGAAAAAAGAGATGGTGGGAAGCAGTGGCAAAACAAGTATTTTGTTTTGAATTGAAACCTAGTAGTTCTCTCTGCTTGTATTTCACATTGAGGTGTGTATTCTCAATGTGGTGTGCTTGTATTCCAGGTTCTGTCTGGAGGCCGAGTCTTGGCATTGACTAGTGCTCAGATCAGTGACACAGGAAAATACACTTGTGTTGCAGTGAATGCTGCGGGCGAAAGCCAGAGAGATACTGATCTCAGAGTTTATGGTGAGATTTTCTGAAAATCCCTCTATTTTTTTTGGTCATGAAAACTGTGCATGGAGCTTTAATTAAACACACTGTGGCACAGACCTTTAGCAACATTGAAGAAAAATTGTTCCAATCCATAATGAAAGACAAAGTGATGAGGTGTGTGCGTGTATGTATGTAAGTAAAACTATATATATACACACATATGTACACATGTATTAAAGTATGCATGTATGTTCTTCTGTGTATCCTTGAAGAAATGTAGCTGTAACAGTGAATTTCTAAGTTTAATACATAAAGCCTCATTTATAAATGACAGGAGAAAATACATGTTTTTCTTTGTGTAAAAAAACCACGTAGATCCCATGGGCAAAAGATGTTATTGGGGCCAGGGCTAGGTTGTCTCTATGGAACCTGAATGAGTCAATGTGAGGTTGCCATACAGCTCTCCAGTTTCTGTTCCATTTTCAAGACCTTACTGTGCCTACCTAAATGGTGGTGACTCTTTTAGTGCTAACAATGACACTGTATTGAGCCTAACCAGTCAACTTTGTCTCTTTCAAAAAGCAGGGAAAGTATCTTTAGTGTTTGTACTTTGTCAGTTTTCCAAATTATGTCAGTAAGTTAATTCTGCAGTCTTTTTGACTGAACTCATGTGAATTTGTCCTTCTTTCTGATTTCTTGTAACTTGTATGAGCTTCATCCTGATTTCCTGTGACTTGTATAAGATGCCTTTTCATATTGCTTTCTTAGTGATTATTGGTGATGTACTGATATCAAGGAGCATGACATACTGCTAGGAGGAATGCCAGGGAGTTTGACTGTAGCAAGTTTTAAGTTTGCCTGGACAGCTCAGTGGTTTTGTACACCAGTGAAATGAGGATGAACAATGATCTGCCATTTGTTTTAGAAATCTTATGGTACCAGATGTGGAGAGAGGGTTTTGGAATTGCGGTTTTGCTTCTGCTTTCAGTAGGTCAGTGGAGAGAGAACGGTTTTGGGTCTGCCAATCTCTTAGCTTTATGGCAACCGTAAGCAGAAGTCTGGAAAATCTTGCAAGAGAAGTTAGAAGTTTGGATGTTTTCTAAGGTGAATAAGGGACAGCTGGCCAGGTTATTTGTTTTCAAGTTTGGCTTTCAGAAGTGACTTCTTGTAAGTGCACTGTGGTTAGGATACTCGTGACTTGAGTCATGGCTACTTTTGTATCTGCCAAGGGGCAGTTCAGAAAGTCAGGACTCTGGCATGGCAAGCAAGCTCAAGGTTAATGTGGGCTGGAACACTTTATGTCTAGAGCAAGGAATATCAAGATCCCTTTTGGAGTTTGAGGACAGGTGTGTATGTATACATAACGACACAAGTGGCATGGATATATTTATTATTTCTCTTTTATTTTCTGGAACCTCTGTCCATTTTAGCTGAGGGGAGACCTTATCGCTCTCTACAACTACCTGAAAGGAGGTAGTAGTGAGGTGGGTGTTGGTCTCTTCTCCCAAGTAGCTAGCGATAGGACGAGAGGAAATGGGCTCAAGCTGCGCCAGGAGAGGTTTAGGCTGGAAATTAGGAAAAATTTCTTTACGGAAAGGGTAGTCAAGCATTGGAACAGGCTGCCCAGAGAGGTGGTGGAGTCCCCATCCCTGGAAGTGTTCAAAAAACGGGTAGATGTGGCACTTCGGGACATGGTTTAGTCTAGTCTACCCTTGATTGGTTTAGTGTGGACTTGGTAGTGTAGGTTAATGGTTGGACTGGATGATCTTAAAGGTCTTTTCCAACCTAGACGATTCTATGATTCTAAATGAAAATAAGAGTTAGTTAGAAGTTCTATATGTTTAAAATTACTATTCTATTAGAAGCTGGCCAGGTTTGAGCTCAGCTGCAGGGCCATCTTGAGTGAGGCTGTCACCAAAAAGTAATATTACTCTTAGAACTTGCCTCATATGGGTAATGTAATTAAGAAGTCACAGGAAGAAAGTAATTCAGAGTGCAGCTGGAGCTGAGATGGTTAGAAATGTGTGGTGCGCTGAGCCAGTCTAGGAGTTGGAACAATCTGGGTAGCATATAGTTACCATGAGCATAATTAGATTAATTTTAAACCTTGTTCCTTCAGAAACAAATGCTTTAGTGTCTGTCTCTTTTTTCATAAACTCAGTTTCCTTTTGAACACAATTCATTTAGCTGAGAGGAAAAGTAATCAGAGGAAAAGTAAATGGTGGAAAAGTATTTAGAAATAAAATTGCCTTCTACAGTAATGGATCAGCTTCCAATTTTCAGTTCCACAATACCTGTAAAGAATCTGGGCCTTTGTGAATTCTACAAAGAAAGTAAGATAAATAAACAGTTGTTTTTTTTTTTTTTTTTTTCTGTTACTCTATCACTTATCCACAGAGACCAGACTTTTCCCTAAATTATTTCCAAACTGTGAAATCAGCTCTCTGCTTAGTACTTCCTGTGTAAGAAAAACAAAGCTTTATTGTTAATGTTATTTTTCAGGACATCTTGAGAACTGTATTGCTGGCTTACTGAGTACCACTTTGGGACTTTTATAATCTCATATGTGCTAATTAATTCTTTTTCTTCAGAGTGAACCCCAGAGGATTTCTCACAGACAGTCCCACTGCTTCCTTCTTACCCCAATATTTTGTGCAATCAGACATGCAATTTCTGGAGTAATGGATTACAAAACTAAAAAGTGAAGGAGAAGTGACAATAAAAGCTCTTATATTTGGCCCTGGTCAATGATTTTTGGGCAAACTGAACAGTCTTAGTACACAAGAAGCATAAAAATCCCACTGGATACATGTAACCAGACAATGTAATTCTTGCTAGGAGAGTTTTGATTTTGTAAATAATTTAATTGCAGATCTAATGTTGCATTAATGTCAAGAGTTTACAATGAACACGCATTATGTTTTTAAATGACAAGAAAGGAAAGGGAATCCCTATGGGTTGTTTTAAGGATTCAAGGATGTATTAAGGCACATTAAGGGCACGAACAGGAATTCTGTTCTGGATCATGCTTAAGCAGCCCAGTAAAAGCACTTCTGCTCTCTGCAGTTTGCTGTAGTTACCTGTATTAGTGATGCAAATGAATGCACCTGACTCACTGTGGTGTGCATGACAAGCAATCCCAAATTCTGTCTCACTGGTTCTGATCTGGGAAAGGGAACCTCTGGTAGAGAGTTGATGGTAAGCTGCAGCAATGTAGGCCATGATGGCCTGCTCCACTCTTGCTATTTTCCAAGTCAGAGTGTGTCTGACACTGAAATACTTTAAAACTCTTAATGTGGCAGTATTCTGTCAATGACTCAAAGCTGCCTGGGGAGTCTCGGAAGATTTCCTCTGACCATACAGCATGCCATTACCAAAGGACATTCAGTTCAGCCATGAATACTGATACAAAGCCATAGGTGGCAGTTTCTGGTCTTTATTCTTTCCATTTAAGCTCATCAGTCTAATATTTCCTCCATGTTCTTTTTGACTCCAGACATGAACATTTTCCCCATGGAAATTGCTCAATTGCTGTGTTCCAAGACTTAGTTCTCAGTTGTCTTTTCAGTTGCTTTGTTCTTCTGACTGTGGAAACACAAATAATTTTAAAAATGGGGGAAAAAAAATGCATTTCCTTGAATATTGACACTGTTCGAGAACAGCTAATGGCTTTCAATTTAAACGTCCAGAAACACTTTTTTTTTTCCTTCTAAACAGAAAACTTTCATTCCAAAAGCTGATTTTTCTACCCTATAATTTGGAAATAATAGTGTAGTAATGATGTTATCACTGAAACTGTAGTACAAATCTGAATATAGTGCTCAGTGCCAACAATTGCAGTAATTAGCTAGCAGATACCACACAAAACAGACAATAAAGTAAATTGTAGATTATGACTTGATGATTAAGTCATTAACCCATTCACTTGGCTGCAACCATGTAAGTTCTCATTCTGTCTTCTGTATTTGGCCATCTCTGGACAAAATTCTTAAAGAATTTTCACTCACTCTTCTTCTCGCTCATCAGCTCTTTTTCTTTTTAGCAGG